CCTCAGGACACCAGAGGTATCAGAACCCCTTGGAAGGAAAAGGCGTTCAATAGTCAGGAGACTGCTAGGGGGTCAAAACCTTAAATATTCCAGGTCCCTGGTGTCTTAGTTAGGATTTTTACTGCTGTGAAGAGACACCATGACCACAGCAGGAAAAGAAAACAGTTCGTTGAGGCTGGCTTACATTTCAGAGGTTTAGTCCATTATCATCAGAGCAAGAAGCCCGGTGTCATGCAGGTAGACATGATGCTGGAGGAGCTGAGAGCTCGATTATCTTGATTCACAGGCACTGCAGGATACTGAGACATAGAGATCTCAAAGTTCACCTTCACAGTGACACCCTTACCCCAATAATGCCACACCTCTACTAATGCCATTACTTATGGACCAAGCATTCAAAGACACGAGTCTATGGGAGACAATCCTATTCAAACTAACATAAGCCCTGGCTCTCATATGTTTGTAGCCATGCCATAATGCAGAAAAGCATTCATTCCAACATCCAAAGTCCTCATAGTCTATAACAGTCTCAAACTTATTTAAAAATCCAAAGTCTCTTCTGAAACTCATGGAATGTCTTAACTATAATCCCTTGTAAAATCAAAATCAAAAAGCAGATCACATATTTCCAACATATAATGGCACAGGATATACATTATCATTCCAAAATGCAGGAAGGGGAGCACAATTAGGAAATACTAGACCAAAGCAAGACTAAAAACCAGCTGGGGAAAATCCAAACTCTGCATTCCATGTCTGATGTCAAAACACTCTTCAGATCTCCAATTCTTTTCAGCTTTGTTGACTGTAACACACTTATTTCTCTTGGGTTGGTTACACTCCATAGCATTTTAGAGTCTCCAAGGCAATCCAGGCTTCGCCTTTATTCCTTCACGCAATGACCTCTCTAGACTTACATTCAGGAACACCACTAACACATGCCTGGCCTCAGCATCATTCCCTAGAAATAGAGGGAGATTCTATAATCCTTTTCTTTTATCTTTGACTCTAAAGCCAAAATCATGTGGCCAAAGCTGCTAAATTCTACTGTTTCCTGGCGTTGGAACACTGATCCCTTGTTCAATTACATCTTAGCCAGCTTTCTGTTTTCAATGGTTTCCTTCACTACCCAAGCTTGGATGTCTGGAACTGGATCTGTAGACCAGGCTGGCCTTGAACTTACAGATACACCAGTCTTCTGAGTACTGGGATTAAAGACATGCACCACCATGCCTGAACCTCACCTATTCTTTATTACCTTTTCACAAATTGGAAGTTTAGCTGGGTGTGATCTTACCCATAGGTCACCATTCTCTTTATTCCATTTCTAAATCTGTTTATCTTCTTGCACACAGGACTTACAGCTCAATTCAGGTTCCTGGTGCCACTGTTCTCCTCAACAGTATCTTTACTTGCTCAGCTTGTTCCTCTTTCTTGTAAATCTTCAAAGGGGGAAGACTAATAATGGCACAACAGAGTCTCTACTAGTTTGTTTTGGAATTTCCTCTGCCAAATGAATTATTCCAAACTCTTTGGACAAATTAAAAAGCAGGCACATTCTTCACTAAAATACCACAAGAACAAACTCTAGGCAATGCACTAGCATTCTTCTCCTCTAAAACCTCTTGAGCCAGGTCCCCATAGTTCAAATCACCCTCAGCATCACTGTCTTCCATGATCTAACTAGTATGGCCCATTTAAGCACCACTTAAAGCATTACACCTGCTTTCCTAACCCAAAGCCGAAAAGTCCAATTCTACCTAACAACAACAACAACAACAAAAAAAAAAAAAAAAAAAAAAAAAAAAACGGCCAGGTGAATCACAATGCCCCAGTCCCAGGTACCAATGCCTCTCTTAGTGTTTATTGCTGTTAGGAGTCAGCATGACCATGTCAGCTCTAACAAAGAAAAACATGTAATTGGGGCTGACTTACACAAGGGGATAAACATGGCCCCACGCAGGCAGACATGGTGCTGGAGAAGAAGCTGCAAATCCTACATCTTAATCCACAAGCAGCAGCAGAACACTGAGACACACTAGCTTGAGCATAGGACACCTCAAAGCCCGCCTCCATATTGATACATTCTCTACAAGGCCACACCTATTCCAACTAGGCCACACCTCCTAATAATGCCACTAAGATGGGCCAAACATTCTAATACATAAGCCTATGGAGGCCATTCCTTTTCACACCACCACACCAGGGTTCCCTTTGACCAACCACTGCCTAACACTTCATAGGGGTCTGAAACCTCCATCCCAAAAGGAAACAAATTAGAAAGTCACCTCTGGAAGTAATAAGTCTGGTTGCTCACTTTCTGTTTGGACACATAGAAGAAGACAGACATGGCTGCTATCCAGTGTCTGGGAACCCTGTGACATGTCACTGGATCCCTCCATCTATTCAGGTGTATGAATATGTGATGGCCAGGCTTGTTATTTTTACTGTCTATCTCTTTGTATGTATGTGTCTATATTTCTTCCTATGTATATCTATCAGTTTTATTTCCCTATATTGACCAGTGGCTTTCTCTGCTGTGAAACCCTCCTCCACCCTGTGCTCCCTCCTGTTGGGGAACTGAAACCTTTTTTGGTTCCACCAGCTCATCCAAAGGTGAAAAAACTCTTCCACTTGACCCAGTCTAGGAGCACAAGCACTTCCTTGTATTGTTGCTTGACTCCTGTTCACATTCAGTGTTGGTCCCTGTGAGGAGAGGAGAAGGTGCCAGGCCTCTAGGCTAGACCTGAACCTCACAGCCATCTAAGAAAAATGCACACAGGGTGCGGAAAATAGTTCCCCCAGGTGAGCATCCCTTTCATTTTTGTGCCTGCTCTAAGTAGTTCCAGGGAAGGAGAAAACTTCTCCTTGGCTGAACCAAAAGGAAAAGAGAAAGTTCCACTACTTTCTCTTTCATAATTTGCATCTCTTTTTCAACCAGTGATCTCTAAAGCCCATCTTTCCCTTTGAAAAAAAGTAGAAACACTACCTCTGGGCTAGGCAAGGGAAATGCTGCCAGAAAACACAGCCTGAAAAAAACATATATTCCCTTCTGTCCAACCCTAACCAAGAACACATTAAGGAGTTTCACTTTTTTTTTTTTTTTTTTTTTTTTTTTGGTTTTTTGGAGCAGGGTTTTTCTTTTTTTTTTTTTTTGGTTTTTCGAGACAGGGTTTCTCTGTGTAGCTTTGAAGCCTATCCTGGCACTCACTCTGGAGACCAGGCTGGCCTCAAACTCACGGAGATTCCGCCTGCCTCTGCTTCCCGAGTGCTGGGATTAAAGGCGTGCGCCACTGACACCCAGCATGTTATACAAATTTAAAAAACAAAAATTTAAAGGGAAAAAGAGGTCCCAGATGCTGGAGGTAGTTCAAAGGTGTTTAACAACAAAAAACTGATTGGGACAAGAGCTTTTGCACAAACTGAGAGCCACCTTCACCTTCTCTGATAATGAGACAAGGTTAGAGGTAAAAATAGCCAGCAAAAATCTCCTAGCTGAAAGCTTTGCCTCAATAAAAAGATAAATGATATCAAATGACCCTGGAAACAACAGGGGAAAACAAAATTTATCTTGCCTGGAGTGATGAGACAAGCATCCTAGTGTCCTGCCAGTCACACTGGAACATGCAGCTCCTGCCTATGAAGAAACCTGGTGCCTCTACTTCTCATGAGTCTGCTTCTTCCAGAGAAACAGGTGTACACTTTCCTCAACCTAAAAGATGCATTCTTCAGCCTCCCATTGGCAGTGTTAAGTCAACCATTTTTTGTTTTTAAATGGACAAACCCAGTGAAGGTTATAATGGGCAACTAACCTGGACTGGGTTGTGTCTGGACTTAAGGACTAAATATAGAGTGACTGCCCCTCCTTCAGAGATTTCCTGGGAAAACAGATTATAAAAGAACCACTGAGGGACTGCTACAAGTTTACAGACCTTTGGCTACAAAATGTTAACTAAGAAAGCCTATAGAAGCCTACCTATCTTGGCTAACAACTGAGGGGAAGCAAAGGGAACCCATCTCAGAGTACAGCTCCTGCCATCCTTCAGATCCCAACTCCAAAGGCTAAAAGAGAGGTACAAGATTTCCCAGGTGCAGCTGGATATTGCTGTCTCTGGGTACCAGAGTTTGTGGGAATGCCAAGGCTGATAAACAGCAGCACAAAGGGGTCACTGAGCCCCTAATCCAGACTGAGACTGAACAAAAGACATTTAAGGCTTTAAAAAGTCATAGGATTTCTACTCCAGCCATAGAATTTCCAGATGTCTCAAAACCTTTTCATCCTTTTGTCCACAAAACACAAAACCAAAGGGGTTTTAACCCAAACTTTGGGGCCATGGAAATGTCCTGTGATGTATGTGTCCAAATAACTGGACCCTGTAGCCACAGGTGGGCCCATATATCTAAGAGCAATGGAGGCTAATGCTAGTTTAATGCAAAAAAACAAGTTAACTCTGGGTCAAGATCTTATACTCACGGCACACCAGGACATGATTAAGGTGCTTGGCCATGACTATCAAGAGATAAAAGATGAAACCAGGGACCTGGGAGCTGTGGGAGTTTCGGCAGTTCCATTAACTGAAAAAAATATACCCACAACAGGTACCTCAGCCCAAGAAGCAAAACTGATGGATGTGACCTAGGCTCTCAGGTGGGGAAGAAGAAAGTCCTCCACCATACATGGACAGTCACTATGCTTATACTGTCAGGCATGTCCACAGTATGATATAAGAGGGCTTCTCACCACTGGGAAAAGGGATTTTAAAAATCTGGGTCCTCCTAGAGGTTAAGTGGCTTCCCCTACAAATTGCTATCCTCCACTGCTGGGCTTCAGACCTGCTTGCCCACGAAACCAGCGGGGTATGTTGATATTTGGGGGATGGGGGGGACTGATTTTCAGATAACATACCATGACCCCTTACTACCTGAGATCCCATGGTAAAAAATAAAGCGGGGGGGGGGGGTGAAGGCAAATGGGTCACCAGTAGCTCTACTGAAATCACCCGCAGAAGTTCCGCCAGGGCTCTCGCTGTAGCCACCACGGTTTGATCCGGAAATATGGGTTGAACATGGGACGTCAGTATTTCCATCAGTACGCGAAGGACATAGGCTTCATTAAGTTGGACTCAGCAACCTTGAATGGATTATTCAAGACTGTCTACCCGTGAAACAGATCATGCTAGTCTTTGTACATAAAGAATTTTAAAAATGGAGACCTTCAAAAAAAGAAAAAGAAAAGAAATAGACGGTTCTGTTGTAGATGATGCCATCTGGAAACTGCATTTCTAAGTGGGTAGATGTGCCACACAAGGCTACGAAAGTTTTAAATTTTATTTACTTGTTTTGTTTTGTCAAACAGGGTATCTCTCTGGAACTCGCTCTACAGACCAGGCTGGCCTCTGCCTCCCGGGTGCTGGGTTTAAAAGCAAGCACCACCACCGCTGATTTAACTATTCTAACCACTTAAACCCGAGAGACTTCAGTCCCGCAAACATGGAGAGTCACGAATCTGACTGATCACAGCGGGCGCCCTGCACGGTGACAAGGCCGCGTGCACACCAGCTCTCCCGCCCCCCAGGCTCTGCACGGGCGGGCGCATCAGGCAGAGCAAAGCCGTTCACGGCCCCGCTTCTGCCCGGGGCTGCAGGGAACTCGGGA